TTAATTACCATCATTTCATCGAAACCAAGATTTTCTTCGATAAACGTGTATAAACGATCATTGCAATAGGATAAGACATCATCAGGTAAGTTATTAAGATCAATTGACATTATAATGATGAAATATTTTACTTCTAAAAAATGAAAAGAAAGCTGTCAGATTGAACTTATTCAATACTCAGAAATAATCCGATTAGATTTTCTTTTTGTCCTGATAATTAATACATGGTTTCATCAGAAAAAAGAAGTATATATAATATCTGTATTAGATTTCAAATGCAATAAATTACTTCAATGTGAGATATTGAACAAGATATTGAAGTAAGACCATGTAAATGTGAATGGTTCAATTAAGTCAGTTCGTTCTCTTTTACTTTGTTCAGTATATCTATGATCCTATACAAATAATGAACTAACCTGGAAGACGTTCAAGCTCATTTCTACTTTGTGTACAAATTGTAATAAAAAAATGACGCGCGTATATTTGTTAACAATTCAATGTTTACTAGATTTTCCTGTAAACTACTTCGAAAATTGCGCAATATAAGCATACATTATCATCTTTTTTCTTGATATTAAGTCATATTCAGGGACAACGTACCTTTTTAGAGCTTTGTTATCAAATTCTATCGGCTGAAAGGCTTTATTCTCAAAGTAGAAGTACATATGTAATTAAGAGTACAGCAGTAGAAATTGTTACAAAGCAGCACTCTTTTGTTTAACATGACTTATAAATCATTTATGAGATACCAGTAAGAGTCTTCAATTGACAAAATCATTATTAATAATGTTGAAATATATTCGTAAGAATATTGTAGGATCTATCAGGATCCAAGAAGATCCAAGAGGATCCAAGAGGATCCAAAAGGATCCAAAAGGATCTATAGGATCCACAGGATCCAGCAGGATCCACAGGATCCAGCAGAATCCACAGAATCCATAGGATCCGAGGATCCAGGATCCGCTTTTTCCCCCTTGTGTTTCATACTTGATCATCTTTTTGTTTTTTTTGTTCTCTTCAGAATGTGAATCAGTTGATCATCTCTCTAGTGAAAGTAAATGCGACAAAGAGAAGTACTATTTTTAGCTACTGGTACGAAAACTTTTCTTTACATTGTAATATAGGGTGGATATGAATGTGAATGTGGGTATGAGTATGCGTGGGATGTGAGGTAGATATGAATGTGGGTGTGGTGGGTGTGTGGGTGTGGGTGGATATGGATGTTGATTTCTAGTGTTTTTACTTACATCCACACTCACACCCACACTCTGGAGTTTTCGCTTCACTTTGAGTGTTCTTTTACCATTTTGAGGGTTGAAATAAGAGCCTCCTACTTTTTGTCGTTTTTATTTTCACATTGACCCTCTTTACTCCTCTTTTTTCACGGACCTCAATGGGAGGCCAGGAATAAGATTCATATAGGATATATAATAGAGTGAACAACAGTATCTAAAGTGTATTACAGCGCATAGAATGTCATACATGTCAAAATTCATATTTCAATCGAACTCAATTTCAAACCTTCAATATTTGCATAGATGACATCGTATAGACTTTTATAGAGGCTGCAGACTCTATACGAATCTCATTCTGATAAAAATAACATAATTGTTCAAAATTGGTATCTACTTCTATTTTCTTCAACACGAGGAAATTTTCGATAACAATGAACTATTCTGAATAATTTTGATTGAATCTGAGTCTTTTGAATGCATATGTTTTTAAAACAAGAGTAAATATTTCAACTGTAAGAAATTCATATGAAAATAAACAAAAGATGATAAATCTGTTTGATATTGTTTTAAATAAAATTCCTTCTACTTATTGAATAACCAAATAAAACTTAATTTGTTGGATTTTTATCTATTATTTATTCTAAAATAAAAATATCATCGACTATTGATTATATATATTAAACAAAACATATTTAATGACAATATAAAATCATTAATTAAGCGTGTTGAAATGAAAAGTTGATATAAAAAAATATAATTAAATTTGTTCATTGAAGAGGAATCATTATATTAAAACAATGATTTTTTTCATCAAATTCATATTTAAGTTGATCTAATTTAATTATATCTGGTACAAGAATTTCTTGATATATATTAAAATCTTCTTTATTCTTTGTTTCGACACGTATATATTGTTGATCAATAATTAATTTAATTTGATCTTGATTTCGTATATTTGGTTGATTATTTAAATAAAGAGATAATTTAAGTAAACGAGCATCATTCAATACCATCGGATGCCATATTCGATTTGAAAAAAATTCGTCTAAAGCAAGTTTTTGATCATGATTTAAACTATCTCGACGTGTTAATTGTATACCATGTTTAGATTGACGATGATAAGGAAAATTAGCAGCAATTATTTGAGAATCTTCTTTTCGAAATATTATTTTATGGTCATTACAAAAAAGTTCTGGTGGAAGTGCTATTATCATTTCCATCATATCTATATATTTACATATATTATTTATTTTATATTAATATTAAATTAAAAAACAAGTTACTTTTTGATTGAAGATGATCTCGTTTAGAAAATTTATTATTTCCTAAATGCTGTGCTGTTTCTTTGTAATAATCTATACTATTTTTAATACATTTATTATTTTTATTAATAACAATTGTTTTTCCTCCTTCGATTAATTCTTGTGGAACTTTAATATGAACAAATTTTATTTTGGCAGATTCATTTAGATGTTCAATATTGTAAAGATCTTCAAAATTTCCTGATATTTTTTTTTCTTCATTTGAATAAATTCTTTCAATCATAACATTTTTTCCATCATTTAAACTTTCAGCAGGAAATTCAATGATCAATTCAAACAATTCTATTTACAAACAAATATTTAATTATATAACAATATTACTTTAATCAATCATAATTGTTAATCTGATCATCTATCGATCATATTAAACATAAGAAATATTCATAAGATTAATTTTATATATCAATGAAATAGAAAATCTAGCACATATTTTGTTAAATAAAATACATTATTATATGAACTCATTAGAATCTATTTATAGATAATATTATTATTCAGTCATTTTTATCTGTTATCTCTATTTGTTAATTGACTCATTGATCATATGAATCTATCTTCTGAGAATATTTCTTTTTTTTTGGTTTTTATAAATTATTTTCTTTGATTTAATTCTGAACTTATTGAACAATATAAATTGTTTCTCACTAATGTACACAGAACATTTCATATGCATCTTTTTCATAAATTTTTTAGCTATTCAACGAAAAACAAAATTTATAACGACATAAGGGAATAATAGAATATAACAGTTTCCTAAGAGTTATGATCTTTAGATCTTTTCAAAAATTTATTTCCTTTGAAACTAATCTGTTAAAAGACTTCTTTCAATTGGAACTAAACTTCTCTCCATCATACAATAGAAGCCGACTGGATTTCTAATTTGCTTTGTCAGTGAAAAGTTTGCAAAATAGGCTTCTATTGTGATCAACTATTTTATATTGTAGCTAGTCTTTCTTTAAATTAAATCTATACAAGAGTTCAACAATAATGTATTAATTTTTTTCCAATTATGTAATCAATTTAAGAATATCGTAAATAGTTTCTGTGACATCAGAAATTAGCTGTCAATTCTATTGTCGTTCTATACTACTAAGTAAACAAAGTAATTACTGCTTTACATTACTTTTCAATTAGACATGTCTATCTGTCTTTGGAGAATTTAGAAAGAAATTCTTATAATACATGTGCCAATATGATTTTGCTTGAAAGCGACTTGATCATATGTACAGTAAGTCTCTGATTACGAAATAAGAGCTTCTTATTTCTAACAGATGAATAATTTATCTCTTATGAGCCTTATAATACTCGATATTGTATCATTTCACACTAACTTTTATTATCGAGTTCGACAAACGTTTCCATAATTGAAACCGATCACCGTTCTCTTTCGTAATAAGTTACATTTTTCAGCAAAGAATTTGTCTATATATCTGTCAAGTTAATAAAAAGGAATATTATTTCATTTGTGAAGATCCATCACAAAAATAAATCTAACAGAAAGCGATATGATTATATGTCTAATTTCTATTCGACAGTTATCTTTAATCAGTACGTATGTGTATACGCATTTTTCAGGTCGCAAATCAAATTAATATCTCTGTTCCTACTAAAAATACAATATAAAAGAAATTAAGTACATGAAGATGGGAGGTGGGACTCTTCTATCTATGATATTGTTTTAGATAAATCACCGGATATATTAGATTTGAACCATTTCAAATCTGAATGAAAAATTCAAATATAAGATATTGATATAAATACTAGAGAAGAATTTAAAATTGATCTAAGCAGCAACAAATTCACCGTTATTCTGTTTCTTCTACGAGAAACTTCAAATAAATAATGTCATTTTATTATGGTTTATATTTAAAGGATCATTTGGGATATCAGTCTAATCTAGACATCCTGATCCATAGGCGGCGGAGCGTTTTGAATCTAGGGTAGGCTCAATATTTTTATACGAGCCTTACTGATAGGTTAAAGATAGAGAGGGTCATTTTTTATGCTATGTCATTCAAATAAAATACAATCAATATTATTTATTTCGAACTCAAATTTTTTAATGCATAACATTAGCACAGATCAGAGATGAGTTTGCAACTTGTGGCAAAAAACTTGTATTCAAAGAGTTACTTAAACTTTTGTTTTCATTAAATAGTGACCCTCAAATATAGTCCATCGGACGCAAAATTTTAGGATCCGAAGCCGGATTCGTAGTGCTCGTACTCTCAATACAAGGTTTTTACTCTCAATTTGATAATTATTTCAAAGATGCTACATTCTTTTTATTAATTTTTCGGGCAACTAGCACACCCTACACATTTTTCAAACAATTTTGACGATAATCTCGTAATAACCAAGTTTTAACTAGTTCTTACGTGCTGCTAGAGCCTATCAGGTCTGAATTCGAGAATTTGTGCCTGGATCCAGATCTGACTCTAGTCAACAGAGAAATTTCAAACCCAGGCTCAGAACTAGAGTTGGTTAGATTCTGAACCTATCTCAGGAGCTGCACATCGGAAAGAGTTTTTGATTTGTATTAGTGCAAACTAGAATTATGGCGACGCAGCAGTGCTCACAGAAAAGGAATCTCATTGTGGGTTTGTTCAGCGTGTTAAAAATGTTTGATTGGCATCTGAGAGTAACTGCAGAAAGGCGAGAGAATTTTGACATCATCCAGCAGATATGATTGTAAGTAACCTGTAAGGTGATTCTTCATTTGTAACAAAAGAGCATAACGTGAACTCATTATCAATGTACGTTGCAACACTTAGTCATACGAAACTCAGTTTTTTCCCTAAAAATGTTAGCAGCTACCGCTGATGGCAGCAAAAAATTTCGAGCAGTACGCAAGTTTTTTAATCTGATGGAGTGAGAAGCAAATGTTTGAGTCTCTCTTAGCCGATGAAACTTGAATTTTGATGAGCTTTCGCCTACTCAGCCATTGTGGCGTCGTCGCCTATGGTTGGTAGCAGATACAGAATAAACTGATCTTGTAATAATATATCATGCGTTATAAGCAAACGAAAATTTAGCAATAATATAACATTTTTATGTAGAATGGAGTGTATGAACGTCTTTTTAGATATTCAGTCTAGGTAGAGCTATGTCTACCCAGGCATAATGGCTCCGCCGCCTATGACTGACACTGACTCTATAACGACGTATCATCTGCCAGAAAAATTGGAAAACTAGACAATAATAGAAAACCTTCACATTTAATAGATCCTACAAAAGTCTTGCTCTGTCCAAGTTTGAGCCTACTGAAGCTTACCCTCAGCCAGTCTAGGGTGAACTTGAGCCTACCCAGGCCTAATGGCTCCACCGCCTATGGAAGAGTACTGTTCTTTAATTACTTACAATTCAAACGTTGTTTTGAATAGAAGTTTAGAACAAAAGTTAAATTATCTTATATTGAAAATAAAAAATTCGACGTAAATATAGACGTCAACGAAACCAATCAGTATGTCACTGGGCACGAGTTTGTAATAATAAGATGTGAACTGACCTTGTAATAACGTGTCATCTGACAGAAGAACATGAAAATTATCTAATATTAGTAAAATTTTACATTAAATCGAGCCTAGTCAAGCCTTTATCTGTACTGGTTCGAGCCTACCCAAGCATTTATCTGAGCCCCCCCAAGCCTTTACCTGAGCCTACCCAAGCCTACTCTCCTCCAATCTAGGGTAGGCTCGTGCCTACCCAGGCCTCGTGGCACCGCCGCCTATGTCCTGATCTGGATCTGATATATAGATTGAGACAGAGCTAGATGCACCATTTTTCATCTCCTTTTTTTCGTCTATTATTTTATATTAAATGAATACTAAGGTGTATAATAAAATCTAAAAGAAATATCGAAAAATAGATCTTAGTAGTTGTTGTTGCAAAACGACAGTTGTTAAATGTGTCACAAAATGAAATAAACGAGGAAAAAAAATCCTGTAGAAATATTTAATGCTTTTAATAAGTTGGAAAAATGTATCATTTATTAGATTCTGAGTCGGCTTTATTCTTGGTAAAAATCATATATTTTTCAAACATTGTTTTAAAATTTTAACATTAATTAAAAAATACTTGTTAATAAATAGAAACAATTATGTTTTTATTCTCGTTTTAAACGAATTCCAAAGTCTCGTGTAACAGACATTGAAATTTGAATTTTGCCTAAATTAATTTAAAATTGCCATAAATTTGAATATTCTCTCAAATAAACATTTTGAGAAAAAGTAATTTCATATATTTAATGTACCTGTAATTGTTGAATAGTTGATAAAAGTTTTATTTAGCAAACGCTTTATATAAAATGGTAGAAAACAATTTAAGAAGAACATTCTTTGTTTTTTATTCAGTTGAAAGATAAGAACTAAGAAAGTTTTAATGATTTATTTACTTAGGTAGAATCTATAAACAGTAAAACTGACTATGAAGATATTCCGCAGAATCGAGCCTCCCCTCTTTCACAAATAACCTTTTACTGTTTCTCTCGTAGAAAAAAAATTAAAAACACATAAAGTAAGCTCATGTTCTATCATGCTGTTTTCAATACGACAAGCATTTATTTTTTTTTTACTAAACATATCCTGTAAAAGAGCAGAATGTGCTCGACACAATAAATTAATTCACTTTGAAAAATCTCCATTTTAAATTATCTTAAAAGTGTAAATTCCGATACCTATGAGGTGACCTACATGATTTTCATGA